GGGGTAGGGTGCTGAATATGAAATACTTCTTTAAATTTCAGCTTTCCAGCTTCTCTGATTTCCGAGTTAGCGGTTTGCCCTTAAAAGACTTTGATGAGCCCATACGCGGGTACTACGGGGGTAAGAGGGCCCATTTTGGGGGTAGGGGCCCGTACGTGCATGTAGATTAAGTTCCCAAATATTCAGCCACGTAGCTTTTGTAGGTTTCGAGATAAAAAATCAGTACAGACGAACAAACAGACACACACACAGACAAGCTCTCGTCAATATGCGTTTTCTGCATTGCATAGCTGCAAAAGACGCATAAAAACTTATGTTACAGTTCGTTAATAAGAAGAGTTAAGCCATTAGACGAAATGACAGTAACTAATGCTAAATGCTTTATGATAAGTTACCAAAACGTGACTAACGCTTACTTAACAGGTGCGACAAGTAAGAATCAGGAGTGAATCAGCACAACATGGCGTCTTGCCTGATCACCGTCGCATTGCAGCTTCTCACATTCTTATCATTTTGGAATTCTCAATCAGCACAAGGTAAGCTTTCAGCTCATTCTTGTCTTGCCCAAAAAAATTACTGATTTTCGCTCGATCTGCAGTCGAGTGCAATAGTCGAATCGTGTACGTATGTCCTGTGCCGTGTACGTATGTCGTATGTCCGTCAAAAATTCGGTCTTGGTCAGTACCGCAGCTAGCTTTGCCAAGCCAATGTGCGCGTTAGTTCTGTAGCCTCACAGTCAGACTGACGCCTTATCCTGTCTCAGGTTTCGCGCCTCAAAACCTCATTTTTTGAGCTGATTTTTGATTTTTTAGGCTAGATTGCACCTTCCAGTTGATTTTTGGTTCCTTCTTACCACACTCAGTTTAACATATAAATTTTGTGCACTCCACACGTTGATTTATGCGAAAAGTGTTGCAGCAGAACCACATTTTTGTGCGCTTGCTCATATGCATATTTTGGTAATTTAGCTCGATAAGGCACTGGAATTTTGAAAGGCAGTTTTCAACTGCGTAGGCGCAAAAAAAATCTGAAATTTTTTTCGGATTACTCTCAGTGTGTATTCTTTTATTCGTTTCTTTCTCTTC